TCAAATGTAAAATTACACGCACTCTCATATAAACCCACAATATGAATTCCAACTGTCCCTTCACCTGCTCCTTAGACCGTTACAAAAGTTTTAAAACAATCTCTCCGAGGTCCTATTTGAAAAATGGGTGAATCAAAGCACAACATAAACATTTAAATTAAAATTAAGTGACGATAAAATAAGACAATTCATGTATATTTCTTTTAATGGATTTATATTTCGAGAATTGAGATTCGAACTCTGATTTTTGAATTAAGGTATACACTTGTATTATTTATAATTATTTAACGTAAGAACCATCTGTTAGGTATTAATTATATTTGAAAACACATTTTTCTTTTTACAATGCAATTTTTTTGGACTAACAATGATTGAATTGACCATTCATGATTGCAAGCCCAGATAGAGGGAGTATCCAAGAAGGATGGCATCTTCGTCGTTTTCTACATTTTCAGGGTATCTTCCTATTGCCTTTCTACTCAAACATTTTTCTTTTTATGCCCAAACAGTTCGAGTTAGACCATAGAAAAGGTTTTCCAATGTTTTTATTTTGATTAATTTGAAAAGAAAAAGAAAAAGAAAAAAGTAATGCATGACTCTGTGACAGAATCAACTGTTGGGTAATTCCGTCGGTACACCGTGCAACCTTTGCGTTTCCTGCAATGCCGAAAGACAAACAAATCAAATCTTGTTGCTATGATTTGACCGCATTTCACTCTATGAACATCGATCCCATATGGCCCCGCTCACTAATCTGATCCTGACAATTAGTTTCGACAGCCGCGATTTGCTTGGAAGTTTTGAACCAAGTTTAGAATCATGAAATGGGGTCATTGTAATGGCCACATAAACAATTGTTACTTAATGTCTCACAATAACACTATAGTTGTATGTGGTTTAATTATTAAATGTAGTTAATAATTATAATTATTAAATATATAAAATATAATATAAGATTTACTTTTATCAAATTCATTATATTCTTATTATTAAAATTTATGACATTTTTAATATTAAAATATCTTCTTTTTTATGCACTTATATTATTTTAAATCAATCAAATACGTACGAGGTATCCCACCAAATGGAAAAGATAACACAAGTAGTTAGTTACTTTTACAGTATAATCTAGCTTACTGAATCAGGTATAAATTTAGTCGAATCTCTTAAGTGTATACTTACAAGCTGAAATTAACAATGAATCTTCAAAAAGCAATTGGATATATATAATTAATCCTGTTAGTTAAACTACTCCCCTTTGTCCTAACCATAAATTTAGCCGCTTAATTAGCACATTAATTATATTATATATGACAGCTCTGACTCTTATATTAAACAACTCTACTCTAACTCTTATTTATATAGCACGATTGGGTTGAATCAATTGGATGTATACAACATTGATTCAAGTAAAATATTTGAAATTAAAATGGGTTTAAACAAAATGAAATTAAGTAGAGAGAAGAAAAAAAGGGGCTCAGCAAATAAACATGTAATCTAAATATTCTTCAATGAGAAGGAATTATAAGGGACAGCTTTAAACTTAGATATTTGGTAAGTAAATATCTTTTTATAAATTAGTTATAAAGTTTAAATTTTAACTAACATAATCAATTTGAGATATATAAAAGTGAACTCAAAATCACACTGATCATTGAAAAAAAAAAAAAAAAGAATTAGGAGGGCCCTATGTATCATCAGTTGAAATGAAGACAAAGTTCACAATTACAATAGTACAATATATACAAATTGGTAAAGATTATTATTCTAACTCTTCAACCTTTTATAGATCTGCCCAGAAATGGGTTAGCCAGCTTGCTAGATTATTTCAAATCTGATGAAACCTTCAGTTTCTCTTCTTTTCTATCAATTCCTTATTCTTTTCTTGGTAGGGTCAATTACTGGTGGGACAAAATCGTTGGGCGAGACTAATTATCAACATAACCCATGTGAGTGAATCTATCAAGTAGTTACAAAGTCTAATTGTGTTTATTTTAATTAACTAATAGCTAGCATGATTGATGGTCGGGAGGTCTTTTTGCTATAAATCCTGCTAAAGATGTTGGCGTTTAGAGCTAAAACCTCTCTTCAGTTCCACATATCTTAAAAGATTAATCATATATGGATAAATTATTTGTACAATTTTTGTTTATAATTTCAACATGTCATAAAATAAAATAAATAAATATAATAATATTACAAAAAAAAAAAAGAAAAAAAAAAGGGAGGATCTGATCATGTATTCGTGGGAAAATCCAAAAAGAGGAAGAAGATAAACAAAGCGGACAGAGAGAGAGGCTTTTGCATGGGAGATATTATTCATCTGCTACCACTTTGATCAGAGGTTGGGTATGTTGTTCGCCGGCGACCGGCACTCTCCATGTTTAGTTGTATGCCAGTCTTAATTGCTTGCCTTATCTTTTTCAAGTATCATTCAGAGGTGTCATCGGAAGGGCACTTTTTGTGGGAGGTGGACCTACTAGATATGCATGCCATACAACACAAATCTAAGGCATCTTATTGTATTACCAGTGAACCATTTATATTATTGGCATAAAATTACCCAACAAAAGGTGGACTTGAATTATAAAAATGACTAAGCACTTATTATGTACTGATTTTAGGTATCAATTTCATGGTTGTTCAAAAAATAATAATTTTAGGTATCAAGATAAAAAAAAATAATAATAATAATTTTAGGTATCAAATAGCCTAAATTCTATATTGGGTTTTCGGATCTAGTGATTCGTCCCTAAACTTTAAGTGTTTGGATTTAGTTAGTCGAAAATTCGACTCCTACTAACGCTTTGAAAAAATATTCTTCATTCCTCAAATTTTCTAATGTTAAAAAAAAAAAAAAAAACCCAACTTCTATTGTTGGTCATTATGCAGATCCAATTTTGTCTGGATCCGTAGATGAGCAATCGGAACCGGATTTTGGTTTTGGTCGGATATCAAACCCAACCCAAGGTCTCTCCTTGCTGGCATCTTGGAGCAACCCCGAGGGTGCGAACCGACCTTACCAAATCTAAAGGATAAAGTGAGCCCAGAAAAATGGACCCAGAATCCAAAATTAGGCCCAGTGAGTCTCATCCCTGGCTTGCCCCAGCCTTTTTGGGCTCAAGGTTGGCAATGTCTACCTAACGGCAGCATACAATGTAAGGCTTTGCAAAGCTTTATTGGATAACACTTTTTTCGATGCATTATTTTTTAAATTTTATATCTTTTTTTTTTATTTTTAAAATATATAAAATATATATTTGAAATGTTAGAGAATAAAAAAACTCACCGATAGAGCTATAAGTTAACATTATCCAACTAAATCTCTGCACCATCTCGGATGCCTTTTATTTATCTTTTATTTCTTTTATTTATCTTTTATTTCTTTTATAAAAAAGTACTGATAAATAAATAAATATTAATAGACAAAAATTGTACAAAAAATAATATTAAATACATAAAAATATTAATAGATATATAAATTATCTATCAATCTTTATTTTTTTTTTAAAAAAAACCGCCTCTGGGTCATAGGGAGTAGAACAATTTAGAAACAGTTCTCACATTCATTTCCCCATAAGTACAAAAGGAATAAGAAGCAGATTATTGACTGGATGTAGATATCATATACAGTCATTAGTTACAAAAGTTTACTTGACGTCCCTTGCATAACTTCACAATGTGAAACTAAGCAAATACTTGACTTACAGAAGTCACAGACCTCCAAAAAGTGATTCTCAACATCCAACAATACTGAGAGGACTCCAACTGTTGATGTCTATGGTTCTTATTAACTGGCCTTCTCAAACATTTGCGATTATTATACCCACGACCCGTGTTGGCTTAACTTAATGACCATTTTTCCCTTTTGAGGAGAAGAATCTGCTGAATCCTCGCTGGTTTTTCTCTGGTGTTGTAGTGGATGAGGAAGACGGTGAGCTTGACTTGGTAGGCACCTGTTTTGGAACCTTTGAGTTGACTGGTGATCTCCTATGGTTTCCTTCGGTATCTGATGGACTGCATGGTGAGGTGTACTGAGTCACTGGGGACTCTCCACCAGTTCTCAGGATGCTAGCAGAAGTAGCTGCATCCATCTCCACCTGGTCTGAGTCTAGGAAGTTGCTGCTAGTAGTGGTTTCATCTTCCGTGCATCCTTCCCCCTTTTGACTTCTTTCAATGTATAGTGATCCTATGTTTTCTGTTTGAGGACGTAGAGCTTTCAACTGCCTGCCCAGAAGAAATATGGTTTCTTGACACTCTGCCAGCTTCTCCGCTGCAGCTGTTAATTCTCTCTCCTGAGACAGCAAGAAAAATACAGTTTCAAGTTTGGGGTTCTTTTATGTTTGATCAAGACTAATATAACTATAACCTAGGAAGTCAAATAAGAACTAAACAGGTTCAAGCACAAGTTAAAGATTTCATGGTCACAATCACAAATAAAAGGACTTTAGAGATAGGGAGTCTCCTGAATAAAAAGTCTTGGCAATCCTCACAGATGCAACAAATATGAAGTTAAGGTGAAACTAGTTTGCCCAGTATAGACAATTCAGTATGTTTTATTTATTAATGATAATATAGCAATCTAGATTCTGAATATCTGTGACTCAGAAAAATCAATTTTAAGAAAAGTCGAAATGTAACCTAACCTCCTTGGTCTTCAGGTCACTATCAGCTGCAGAAGAACAGACAGAACAGCTTTCATTCCTGAAAGAGATGGGAAAAGATAAATTGGAGAAAATTTATGTAAAGGTGAAGACATGTTCATTCTCATGAATCTGGAATCTGGATACTCAACAAATAGAAAAATCACAAGTTCATGCTGTAAGATGAAAGTTCAATGCTAACCTTTGCAATTGCTCCTCAAGAACTTTACATCTGTCTAAAGCATCATGATGACTTTGCTTTTCATCTTGAAGCTCCTTTTCGAGAGTTTCTATCTTTACCTGGAGAAGGTTCACCTCACTTCCTAACTCGTCTGCACGTGTTTCCAGTGACTTATAAGACTCTGCCATGCACTTGAGCTGCGTATCAGCCAAACTGTTTGTCCTTTGAGCAGAAGCCAATTCTGATTTAGTTTCTGCTATAAGCTGCTCAGTTTCATGTAATTGCAATTTCTTCATCTCCAGACTTTCGGTACATCGAGCAAGATCCGCTGCCATGCTATCTCTCTCTGATTTCAGTTCTTCAAACTCCTCCAAAGAGACTTTGCAGGGAGCAGTTTTTGCTTCATAATCTGAGACTAAATTCCCATCATCAGGAACCTCAGGGTTTGAAATATGGATGCAGCCATTCTGATATCTTTCTCCTGATAAATCCTGTTGAACAACCTTATTTTCCGGCAAAGCAACCTTATCTATGCAATCAGGACTGCTAATTTCTACTCCGTTATAGCCCAGCATATTGAATTTTATCTCACCAGCTTTAGCTAGAACATGAGAAAGATCAAAAACAAAGTCAGCCAAAATTCCTTCCCTGCTTAAGACCCTGTTAAAGGTGACAGAGAACTCCTCAATTTTTTGGCTTAAATCATTGTCACTGGAACAGGCATCATCAACTACCCTTGCTTCTTTTCCCAGAGACATCACAAAGTCATGAATCTGAGTAATGGCAGCTGCCAATTCATGACTAATTTGCACAGTTTCTGAATCCAGCTTGTTATCTTGTAGCAAAGAAATTTCTTTCTCTGAAGTTAGGCCATGGTCTTTAGGACAAGCCAGCCCATTGCATGTTGGATTAGAATACTGTACTTTCTCAGAGACACAATTTACAGAGTGCTGATACATACTGTCCTGTGCATCCTGCAACACCCGTTTAATATCTTCCAAAGTTCTCTGCATATCAACATCCATGGACATCGATTCAAGCACCATAGAGATCTTTGCACGAAGCTTCATGATAGGAGCCTTGTCGGCATCAGATTCAGGATTCACTACTGACAAATCTGCATCAGAAGATACCTGATTCACTGATGAATGCTTGTCAGACTGGAGATCTTTTGCAGAAGCAATCTCTTCTGATGCATCACTCCTAGTCCTAGCAATATCAGATGTCTTACCATTGGCACACTCTGAAATGGTGCTTCCATTGTTTGTATTTGAATCATTTGACAAACAAGCCAACTTCTCCATCTCCAGAAAATCATCCATAAGGTCCATGTGCTTCGCATTTTCAGTATTGTTCGACTTCTCAATGTTCTTTTCCTTCTTGACTTGGGAGAGTTCAGACATTAATGCAGTTGTCCATGACTCCACACAACTTGCATCGTCATCATTTCCATCTTCAGAAACAGAAGTGATGCTAGGTGGATTGCTAGCATTTTGACTGGAGTGACCTTCATTAGGAATTTGAGAAATGCCTTTGGGGGAACTTTTCAGTTGATTGCTAATCTGTAGTTGAGCTTCTAAACTTTGAAGCCTGCTAACAGTCTTGGCACACAGATTTCTTGAAGCCTGAAGTTCACTGTTACGCTTTGCCAGAGCTTCTTTCAACATCTTTGTCTCTTCTTCCATTGCTAATAAGCGTTCTGTGAGAAAATCATTCTCTTTCTGGACTTTCTGTACATGGTCAAGGGAAAAGTCAGTCACCTGGGGCACATGTGGACTGGAAGGCCTAACGGGAGACTTCCTTAGTCGAGTATCTCCATAATCCCGTCCTAAACTTTCAACCTCTAGCTTCATTTGGGCAAGTGCAGCAGGACCTGGCAACTTCTTCCGCACAAGGCCTCGCAATCTTTGGCATTCTGCTTCCAACTTTGCTATTTTTTTAACACCCTCTATATGCTGCTTGTTGGCTACTTCTGCAGATCTCATGCTCATGTTCTTTTCTTCATTACGAATTTCTAGCTCTTTTGAAGCCACATGCAGTTCATATTTGAGTGAATTAATTTCTCTTTCACATGACTCAATATTACTCTTCAGAAGCTCAATCTCAGCCTCAGCTTGTGATTTTTCTTCACTTAACTTGATGAGCATATTGGAGCGCTCTTGCAGTGACCTTGAAAGTGCAGCATTATCAGCTTCAGCCCTGAGGAGTTCTTGGTCTAGGCCAGCTATTCTGGCTTCAAGCTCAAGCTTAATTTTTTCACATTGCTTATTTTTGGTAAGGACAACATCTTGCAACTTCTGCTCATGTTCTTCCTTAAGATTTCGTATCTGCCGCATGCATTCTTTAAGAGCACCATCCAAATGTGATGCTTTATCTTCAGCAGTCAGCTTCAAAAGTGTAACAGATTCAAGATGATTTTTCAATGCCAAAGCTTCTGCTTCAGCCTTTTCCCAGCCTGCAATAATACTGCTCTCAGTTTGGATAAAAATTTCAAAACAAAATGAATCAGAAAATATTTAGTTGTTAGTCAGGTTTTGAGCAGAAAAATAACCTGAAACTGCTTCTTCTGCAACTTTTGTATGCTGTTTCACCAGGTCATCCTTCGTAGTAATCTCTGAATGTGCTGCTGAGAGCTTTTCGTTCAAATCTTTAATCTGATCTCCCAATGTCTGAACTTGTTCTTCATATGTCTTTACTTGATCTTCCAAACCAGTAAGATGTGAATATGATTCTACAGAAATTTGAACGTAGTTTGGTTTCTTGTAATTATCCTGTTAAAAGAGGCACATAGTAAAATAAATTAGAAGTAGCTGACATAAAATATGCTGGATGTCTAAAATATTTGAACCTTGGCATAATATTTAGAACATTGCAAAATTAGGCAATCCCTGGATGGGGTAACGTACTATGAAATACAAAAAATATTAAAAAAAGACCAGTAGAGAGCATAGGATATGTTCATAAACAATTCTTAAAGCACAAGTGCTCATCCCCCATTTGTTCTAGAGGAAAAATAAAATATAAAGAGCATATGGTTTACCTGATTGCCTAGAGATTCAGCAGCCAAAGTAGCAGCCAAGGAATCAGCTGCAGCAGCAGCAGCAGCCGCTGCCTTTTCAGCCTTGTCAGATGACTTCTTCTTCTTCCAAAGGCGGTCCATCACTCAAATCACCTTCACCTTGAGTCAAAATGAATGAAATTTGGTTAAGAAATATATATGCAAAAAAATAAACTTAACGTTGGCTCATGTCAGATGCAACATATTATACACATGAATTGTGAAGCAACCAGTAAGAGAAAGCAACTAGATGCAGAATCACAATTCACAAAGCATAGTCTACCATCAATAGCAAAAATCTCTCAGACATTATTGAACAAAGCAAGGACAAAGACTACTCATTGTTCATTTTTCAGCTTCAAATTAACAGCATGCTTCTCTGAGATTAGGTTTGCACATAGAGGTAACACACCTAAGATCATAAGACAAAAGCCAGGGATGAAATTTGATGCCTTTAAAGCACAATCCAGAAATTATATATGGAACAAGCAAAGCATAAGTGTCTGAAAAAAATTGTGATAATACTTTGTGGGGTTGATTCCCTTATCTTAAGGTAATAATAAAGATTAGAGAAATTAGTGAAATGAACTAAAAAACAAAAAATGAAAAGATAAAAACAGTAATATAACAATTAGTCAGATTAGGTAGGAGCTCTTTAATAAGGTAGTAGTCTAACTGAAGCCAGCTCTAGAGGATAGAATAATTTAGGTACATAAAAACAACATACCATAAATCAACTTTGATTTATTAATTTCTCAGGAAAAAAAAAATATATTGAGAAAGTAAGTTTCGTTTTCTTCCCTTTCGCTTCCTGTAGAACGGTACATTCTAGGTAACTAAAAGTTAGCACCAACCAAGAGTCCAAGACAAAACGCCTTGTCACAAATTAAACCTCTCAGGAAAAATTTCCTCAGCAAAAAAACAGACTCATCAAGCTTGAAGAGGAAATAGAAGTAAGTAATCAAAGAGAAAGAGCTCTAATTAAAGTTGGGGAAATAGTCCACAAACAGTATGGATTCTAGCACGAAATTGAGATTTTCAAGGCTTCAAGAGCTCGAATTGGAGTATGTTCTTTTGATTCAGGAAAGCTGCAAAGATCTAGTCGCAGAGCTCGTCTAGAGGTTGTGATCTTAAAATCAGATTTCATGTCAACTATGAAACAGACGTCTACAGAAATTGAATATGTTGAAAACACACAAAATTGCAAATATACATTTCCGCATTCATCTGAAATTAGAAGAATCGAGATCTGTTCTGCCAAAATAAATGCGATTCAAAAATTAATGGAAGATCCTGTTGAGCTACAGTGATATGAACAGAAGTATGCCAAAAAAATTATTTAGCGAATTAAAAGAAGTCCGCTGATACCGAGGAGATATCACCGGCGAAGAAAAGCTGAGAGACTGAGAAGAGGCGCAGGCGGCCACAAAAGTACCAGAACGAAAAGCTTGAATTGGACGAAAGGCACAACAGAGACCTCACCGACAGAAATTGATATGAAGAACAATATCAAATTTGACAAAAAATGGAAATAATTACTCCGGAAAAAAAACCGATTGCTTTTTATCAAAAGGCAGGAAGAAACGAAGCGAAGACAGAAACCACCGCTGTTCGTTTCAGTCTCCCACTCTCTCCAACTCTCCCGAACAACATTCACATTTAAAAAAAAAAAGCTGAAGCAAGACAAAAATCCGACTTACCGTGAGAAATGCAGCTACAGCCTGAGAATATCTGCGGAGCTTGAATGTAGATAAGGAGTCGTAGGAGAATAGAGCTTAGAGATCTGAGATCGTGGTTGATTTATCGGCACTTCTCCGGTATTGGTTGTGTATATGAGATGAGAAGACGAGTGAGAGGAGTGGCGGAAACTGGCGATGAAGATGAAGGAGGATTGAACGTGGAGGAGCGGGTGGTGGCGGTGGTGGTGGAGGTGGAAATATTCTGGGCGGAGTGTCACTAGAGGAAAGGCAAGACGTCGCAAAAGCTCCAAAACAATCACCTTTAAATATTTTGGAAAAACGCACTAAAAGTTACTCGTAAAATAAATTCTGTTTTTCGAATCTAAAAAAATATATTATTTTTGGGAGAAAACGATTTTGGTTTGACGGATTTACCTCTGGAGATCAGTAAACGGTGAGGGAGTCTTGGGCGAGAAGCGAGGCGAGCTGGGCGAGGATATATTTGGGAATTTGGAAAAGTGGAATATGATTTACAACTTGGAACAATGGACCACCGTCACTTCTCTCACTCCAGCTCAGAAGTAGAAGTTTAATTAAGTCTTCTGAGTAATGTCACCACGTGCTTCCAATTTATGATGACTCCAAGAATCACCACATCAAGGCCGACTAGAATGAGTGGATCTGATAATCACACAAGGGGAAAATTCAAAATTGCGATTGAAATACCGTGTAATCTGGGGTTAACATGGGCACAGACATGGACCAGTAATAATGTTATATGGTTATTAAAATAGTAAAATATTATTTTTTAAAATATTAATTTTATTTATTAAAAATAAACACAAAAAGTAATTAATAAATTAAAATCAATCATTAAACTTATATTCTCACATACTATATAAGAAAAAACTAAAATTTTGATGAGTTTAACAATTTTGAAAGTGTTGCCAATGATCTGTTAATTTGAGTGAAAAGAATTCGATTTCGTTTAAATAAAATATCAAATTTGAATCTTATAAATGGAGAAATCAATATTTGAAGAGTTTCTTCATAATGAGATTCAATTCAACTTGATTCTGAATTAATCAAAATCTAATATAATTACTAGATATTAGAAGATTTGTATAAAGAAAAAAAAAAACAATTTTGAGAGTGTTAATGACCACACCCATGTAACATAAATTTTTAGATGGACAAGTTATTAAGAATTATATGTAAATTAATATTAATTTTTATATCTAATTGAAAACAATATAATTGTTATATTATTTAATATTATAAATTTATAATTATAAGATTATTGATTTCTTTTGTGAAGAGGTTTATCGATAATATTATATATATTTATTAGTTTAATAATTTATTATAGTTATAAATTTATATAATATTATAATTATAATCTTGTCAATATACAATAAGTTTATAA